GAGGAAGAGATATTTGACATTCAGTACCTTCCTCCCTTGGGTAAAAGTGACCATGTCTTTTTGGGAATAAAGTATGCAATGCGTTATAAGCTGGAAGAAAATAAGGAGGTTGAAGCAGTTGAAAAACCAGACTTCAGGAGAGGACATTATGGTGACCTTAGAAATTTTTTTAGTGAGAGGAAACAGGATTGGTTCAATAGAAATTGCGAGAGGGCTAGAGACCGAAAGACACAAAAATGGAATCAATACAGGAAGAGGCCGAACCCCCAAACATACGAGCGATACAAAGATGCGAGAAACAACTACACGGCAGTGAGGAGAGAGGCAGAAAGAAATTTTGAAAAAGGGATTGCGGACAAATGTAAAACAGAACCAGGTCTATTCTATAAATTCATAAACAACAAATTGCAGGTAAAGGATAATATTCAGAGGTTGAAAATGGGAAATAGATTCACGGAAGATGAAAAGGAAATGTGTGAAACACTAAACGAAAAGTTCCAAAGTGTGTTTGTACAAAATGAAATCTTTAGGGAACCAGATACAATAAGAATTCCAGAGAACAACATAGAACACATAGAGGTGTCTAGAGACGAAGTGGAAAAAATGCTCAAGGAGCTCGGTAAGAACAAAGCAGCTGGCCCAGATGGCGTTTCACCATGGGTTCTGAGAGAATGTGCATCTGAGCTCAGCATTCCACTTCACCTGATCTTTCAGGCATCCCTGTGTACAGGAATCGTAGCAGACGGGTGGAAACAGGCTAACATAGTTCCAATCTACAAAAGTGGCAGCAGGGAAGACCCCCTCAATTATAGACCTGTATCATTGACAAGTGTAATAGTGAAAGTATTGGAAAAACTAATCAAAACTAAATGGGTAGAACACCTAGAGAGAAATGATATAATATCAGACAGACAGTATGGTTTTCGATCTGGAAGATCCTGTGTATCGAATTTACTCAGTTTCTATGATCGAGCCACAGAGATATTACAGGAAAGAGATGGTTGGGTTGACTGCATCTATCTGGACCTAAAAAAGGCTTTCGACAGAGTTCCACATAAGAGGTTGTTCTGGAAACTGGAAAATATTGGAGGGGTGACAGGTAAGCTTCTATCATGGATGAAAAATTTTCTGACTGATAGAAAAATGAGGGCAGTAATCAGAGGCAATGTATCAGAATGGAGAAATGTCACAAGTGGAGTACCACAGGGTTCAGTTCTTGCACCAGTGATGTTTATTGTGTACATAAATGATCTACCAGTTGGTATACAGAATTATATGAACATGTTTGCTGATGATGCTAAGATAATAGGAAGGATAAGAAATTTAGATGACTGTCATGCCCTTCAAGAAGACCTGGACAAAATAAGTATATGGAGCACCACTTGGCAAATGGAATTTAATGTTAATAAATGTCATGTTATGGAATGTGGAATAGGAGAACATAGACCCCACACAACCTATATATTATGTGAGAAATCTTTAAAGAATTCTGATAAAGAAAGAGATCTAGGAGTGGTTCTAGATAGAAAACTATCACCTGAGGACCACATAAAGAATATTGTGCAAGGAGCCTATGCTATGCTTTCTAACTTCAGAATTGCATTTAAATACATGGATGGCGATATACTAAAGAAATTGTTCATGACTTTTGTTAGGCCAAAGCTAGAATATGCAGCTGTTGTGTGGTGCCCATATCTTAAGAAGCACATCAACAAACTGGAAAAGGTGCAAAGACATGCTACTAAGTGGCTCCCAGAACTGAAGGGCAAGAGCTACGAGGAGAGGTTAGAAGCATTAAATATGCCAAAACTAGAAGACAGAAGAAAAAGAGGTGATATGATCACTACATACAAAATAGTTACAGGAATTGATAAAATCGACAGGGAAGACTTCCTGAGACCTGGAATTTCAAGAACAAGAGGTCATAGATTTAAACTAGCTAAACACAGATGCCGAAGAAATATAAGAAAATTCACCTTCGCAAATAGAGTGGTAGACGGTTGGAACAAGTTAAGTGAGAAGGTGGTGGAGGCCAAGACCGTCAGTAGTTTCAAAGCGTTATATGACAAAGAGTGCTGGGAAGACGGGACACCACGAGCGTAGCTCTCATCCTGTAACTACACTTAGGTAATTACACTTAGGTAATTACACACACACACACACACACACACACACACACACACACACACACACACACACACACACACACACACACACACACACACACTCACTCACTCACTCACTCACTCACTCACTCACTCACTCTCACACACTCTCTCACACACTCTCACACACACACTCTCACACACACTCTCTCTCATACACACTCTCACTCTCACACACTCTCACTCTCTCACACACTCACACACACACTCACTCTCACACACACACTCTCTCTCACACACTCGCACACTCTCTCACTCTCACTCTCTCTCTCTCTCTCACTCACTCTCACACTCTCACACTCTCTCTCTCTCTCTCACACTCTCTCACTCTCTCACTCTCTCACACTCTCACACTCTCTCACTCCCTCACACTCGCACACTCTCTCTCTCTCACTCTCACTCACACTCTCTCACACTCTCACTCTCTCTCTCACACTCACACTCTCTCACACTCACTCTCTCTCTCACACTCTCTCACTCCCTCACACTCGCACACTCTCACTCTCACACTCTCACACTCACTCACACTCTCTCACACTCTCACACACTCTCACACTCACTTTCTCACACTTTCTCTCACTTTCACTCACTCTCAAAGTCTGTCTCTCTCTCTCTCTCTCTCTCTCTCTCTCTCTCTCTCTCTCTTTTTTTTCTTTTTCTCTTCTTTTTCTCTCTTCTTTTTCTCTTTTCTTTTTCTTTTTTTTTTCTTTTTTTTTTTTTTTTTTTTTTCTTTTCTTTTTTTCTTTTCTTTTTTTTCTTTTCTTTTTTTCTTTTCTTTTTTTCTTTTCTTTTTTTTCTTTTCTTTTTTTTCTTTTCTTTTTTTTCTTTTCTTTTTTTTCTTTTCTTTTTTTCTTTTCTTTCTTTCATGGGGACATAACACATCCTTGGCAGTCTTTTACATTAATATCAAACCAGCAACTGCCTCTTTATTCATGAACATGTTCTGCTCCTGTGCTGTACTAAATATAACAATGCTGTCTGTGCAGAGCGAGTTTTGCAATGTTGTGCAACATAGCAATGCTGTGGTGAGCCGTATCCCGTGAGGAGGCTTCTGTTTTGATTTGATCGATATAATCAAACTTGTATGTAACGTATTATTATTTCACAACTGATCTCAGATGTTATCCGATTGCTGAGGATCATCTCGTTGGAAGTTGAGGGGTTGAGGCCAACATATTAAACATTCAACATTCACTTGCCAAAACATACTGGGTTACAGTAACCTCCTATCTGACATCACCTTGGTTGGTGTACTGCTGTTTTATAATCTTGTCACATGTCCATATTCTAGATTACAGCATTTGCTCTTTACTGTAATTTTAATGATGGGATCCCAAAGTCTTTGCTAACCTTCTTAAGTGCTACCGTCATAAATGGTGCCACTGCCTGTGTGCAAAAAAAAAAAAAATCTATTTTCTATTCCTATACGTCAGGGAAGCTGGGTGAGGAGTGCAGGCAGTCATTGGGTCCACAGACATGTGTGATGCAATTTTGCCAACATGGTATGTAGGGGAAGGGGGCTGGGAAGCTCAAGTTTGACGGTTTATATAGTTGCTGCTTCATTTTAGTTTACCATGTATGGAATAAAACTATTCATTTACATGTACAGTAATTAAAACTTTTTAAGTACTGTTGTAGGCCTACAATGTAAAAGAAATGTATGCAGTATATTGTAGGTAAATCTGTTCCTGGCAGTGTCTTGCAACCCATTTCTTTGCTGCTATTCTGTGTGGCAATGTCATCCAGAAATAGATTCAAACACCGGTGGGGAGCAGCAACAATGTGATATTATGACAACCACACAATACTTGTATCATGCGTAACCTCATCATATAGTAAGCCATAAAGGCAAAAGCATAATTTTTTTCATGAGGCTAGGTTAATTTGTAATAGATATATATATGTAATAACCTTATTTACATTTGTAGAACAACTAGAAGATTAAAATCAACATGCAGTATGATAACCGCACTGTAAGGGTTAAGCATGCATGCTATATATTACTCTTAACTTAATTTGATTCTAGGATCTGCAGCTTCCACACTTGCCATGTTGATTGTTCCTGTGCTCAGGTTGACTCTCAAGGATAACTGCTTCCATCTTTGGAAGCTGGCATTTACTGCATTCACACTGCTCAAACACCAACCTCTTATTAGGTTACCGGAGAGGCATTGTTCCTATGTGCCTCGGCTCTAATATCCTGAGTACTCTTGCATACACTATTGTTAAGCCTGTTGCATTCTTCCTGTTTCTTGGAGCAAGTGAACTTGCTGGTCTACATTGGCTTATTTAATTGAACTTGAATATTTATGCAAACTTCCATATCTTAAGATTTGCAGGCTATGGATTACTTTTTATTTTATTTGAACTCTGATATGATTTTAGTTGCAGTATCTAGCTCCATTGTACACTGATTCTCTGATTCTCCAGTACTCTTTCCTCATATTTAACTAATTATTCTAGATAATATTAGTTAATTTTGGATTGGAATACTGTACCCTAAATAAAAGCTTCACTGCATTAAGTAGAATTCTACCAACTCCATATATGATCATCACTCTCATTTCTCATAGTTATATGTAAATAAATATTTTTTTACACCTATTGATTTGAACATTGTGTACCAAGTGGAAATTGAATTATTTCCCCTTTGGAATAATATCCTTAGGTTTATCTCCATATACTAGCTGCAGATTTTTTACCCTATTCTCATGGATTTCTTTTGACTTTTAACATAATTTCTGGATGTCTAAACCCATTCATTGCTTAAAGCCTTTATATTTTTCATTGTTAATTTGTAATATGCAAATTCAGTAATGACTGTCTTAATTTCAGAACAACATTCGATGTGGAGTGTTCCCTGCTTCCCTGTCATCACTGGCATTAACTGTTACTGGCTATAATGCCATGTATCTCAGCAGAGATTTGTACGGGTCCAACTTTGATGTCTCCTTGGGGTTGGTTGACCTCCTGAAGAAACATGTTAAACTGTAAGTGACAAAAATTATCATTAGCCATATTTATCAATAAAGATTTATTCAACCTCCCCTCCCCCCCCCCCCTCCTTCCTTGAAGGATTAGAAATAGGAGTTATTTCTTACTAATGTAGAAATGCAATACTAACAATGAAAAGGTTAAGAGGTTGCCTTAGTTTAAAGTTAAAGATGGTCAATTACTTGTTGTAGAATAGAGCCCAAAATATTTAATCATTACAGCACTTTCAGTAATTCATGGTGCCTTACCCAGTATATAGGCACTACCATGTCCAATGCAATAATGTAGCTGATTTTGGATTTATCCTACAACTGCTGCTAAATAGTTGAGGTTCAACTAGAGATTAACAGGACACTTCCCTAAACCATTCTGGTGACCACACGGTTTTTTTTTTATTTCTAAAAGTTTTTTCCTTTTTCCTTTGTGAAATGGAAAAGTCTGCTGCTTCCTGATATGAAATCTATATTTCTTGAGCCAGGCAGAATTGACAGGCAAGCGAGAAGTGCCAGCTGGTCCACACATTAAGTGTAACAAGTCTTGGGATGACTCCAGCTGGTCCTATTTACTATGTTTAGTGATTGTGGTGGCTGTCATCCCGTGATTTGATAGCCACCACTGACAACTTTGACAGTACCCGAGGCAAGTTGTGGAGTTTGTTCCGGATCAGCGACTTACATCTTAGTCGCAAAATGGACTGCTGAGAGCTCAGCATTTTCTTGATTGTTGGTTATACAGTACTATAATTTCTATTTTGTTGATTTAATGGTAGGGTGTTCTTGGATGAATATGGGAATATATAAAGTTTAGTTATGGCCTTTAACCAGGCACAACTAGACTTTAATGCCTACTGTTCCTGAAGCAGTTTTTTTTTCTTTTTCGATAAAACCCATCATTGGAGAATTTCTTCCATTAGCTGACACTTCCTTTTTTTCCCTCTCTCCTCTCTTTCCTCACCTCTCTCTCATCCTCCCTGAAAGGATAAAGGCTTTACACGGTTACTAGGCTGAGCTTACATTGTTTCGGATAACTGATTGACGCTTTTATGTATCTTTATGGTATGTCTGTATTACATCATCACAAGGATTTGAACAGATGAAAAGTTAAGACTGCTTTCATAATTGCTGATCAGCAATAACAAATTTATCTGTATTTATATGGATTTGTCTGAAAGCACATGATTTAAGACTGTTAGTACATTCAGTAATTTGGTTCCGTATATGCACACCACTTTGGAAATAAAATATGCTGAATTGAGAAATACCATTTGCGTACAAGGATAATGTTCCATTTAGATTTGTAACATTTGAATCGTCTGTGCTGTATTCTTTGAATTAATTTTGTATTGTGTGTGCCTTGCAGAGAAGAGCCAGCTAAAGGGATAGTTTGCTGTACAGCATCTGCTTTTGCAGTATGGTGTGGTGTCTTTATATTCATGAGGTACACGCTAAGGCTTCTCTTCATGTACAAAGGTGAGTTTATATAATTTTTATGCAGTGAATCTGTAACTATCATTTGCAACCACAACAAAATCATGCTAATCAAAATGTTTTAATAAATTGCCAGTGTGCAGGCGATGAGTCATAATAACATGGCTGAAGAATGTTGACCAGACCACACACTAGAAGGTGAAGGAACGACGACGATTCGGTCCGTCCTGGACCTTTCTCAAGTCGAGAATGGTCCAGAACGGACGGAAACGTCGTCGTCCCTTCACCTTCTAGTGTGTGGTCTGGTCAACAAATTGCCAGTGTGGTCTATATATAAACTATTGAAGTGTGAAACCAATTCCAGTAATACACTCAGAACGCTGTACTCTACTTGCCTCACCATTTGGGCACAAGTAGCCCAGTTTTTGTGTTCTCTTCATATACACTGTGGGGAAGGGGGTTATAAACTGATTAGTTGTTTTGATAGGGATGGGAATGGGAAGGGGGGAGGGTAGAATTTGAGTGAGCACAACAAAACTAAAGATATTGCTATTCAGATGTACTGTATAATCAGCACATTACAATGCCAGTTCCAAATGTGTGGTGCTTTCACACACTTGCCTTGCCCAATGCCATTGATGAAACTGGAACCCCATCCCAGTTTTAGGAACTTGGGCAAAAATTGGAACTTACTAAGAGTATCTGTATATGGAACTTTTTTAAAAGGTTCCCAATAAAAGGAAGAGAGTCACAACCATTGTTAATAAACATCATGTTAACAGTGTTAGAATGTTTTAGAAGAATTAAAGGTCCACAATAATGTTTAATCAACCTTACAGGTTGGATGTATGAAGAAAGAGGTCGTGGGAGAACAATGAGTAAATCTTCAAGGTTATGGGTTTTAGCACTGAAATCCTTAACTTGGTTTTCAAGGCCCATGCTGTATTCTTACCAAGGTGCTCTTCCCAGACTGCCTCTACCTGCCCTCAAGGACACAATGGAACGGGTACATACATTAACTTTTAGAGGCCGGTTATAGTTGTGAGTGGATCTAGGCTAGTTAAGTTTGCCAATTTTAATTATTGTCTGTTTTTAAACAAATTGTAAATATAGCTATAATAAATCTGTGGATGTTTTGGAGTTAATAAAGACACGTGGAAAAAATTCTATAAATTTATAACTGCTTAGTATGCGATGTAGAATCGATACTGTAAGCCACAAGTATAGTGTACTTGTGGCCTACAGTATTGATTCACAGTTTGGTGTTTCCTGCTTGTGTTTGAATGTCGTTCTGGAAGACATTCCCAGACAGAATAGCAGCAAAGGTATGGGTCATAAGACAGTTTGAGATGCACCTGGAACACTTCACCACTCATGTTTATTTTTTCCACTGTGACCCTTTACATTATTCCTGAGAGGTATGTCTCTCTTATCTTAGTGCTATACCAAACATTCTAGTTTTTTCCTAGTCTCATTTGAGGGAGTGTCAACAAATTATAGAAAAAAAATTGGCAAAAAATTATAGACCAGTTGCACTAATATAATACGTAATAGAAGTTTTTGAAAGTGTGTTTAGGAATCAAATTTTCAGTTTTATGGAAAATAATGAACTTTACAACACATGGATTTAGATCAGGAAGATCCTGTCTTATCACAGTTACTCAACCACTATGACAAAATCACAGAACCCTTAAAGGAAAAGCAAAATGTAGATGTTGTACACACAGACTTTGCAAAGGCATTCGATATTTTTGACCATGGAGTGGTAGCCCATAAAATTAAATCAATAGGAATAACAGGTAAAGTGGGGGTGTTGGATTTTCAACTTTATCAAGCAGAATGAAGAGAGTGATGGTCAATCAAGTAAGATGAAGATCTTTGGCTATATATAGGCTATAGGGTGCCTGACAGTTGAGTGGACAGCGCTTCGGATTCGTAGTGCTGAGGTTCCGGGTTCGTTCCCCGGTGGAGGCGGAGACAAATGGGCAAAATGTTTCTTTCATTTGCCCCCTATCCCTGTTGCCCCTGTTACCTAGCAGTAAATAGGTACCTGGGAGTTACACAGCTGCTACGGGCTGCTTCCTGAGAGTGTGTAACAAAAAGGAGGCCTGGTCGAGGACCGGGCTGCGGAGATGCTAAGCCCCGAAATCATCTCAAGATAACCTCAAGATATTGGCAATCAATGAAGATGTTCTAAATCCCTACTCTTGTTTGACTTTTATTGTGGTTGTAAAAGTTTTTCTAGCAGTATGTTCCTTTGCTAAATCCATGCTGATGTTTGACTTTGCATTTGGAGATGTTATGAATATACTAAGTCTCCTATAGATTTGACTGGTAGTAACCTGCCAGGGTATGTTTGTTAGTGATGCAGCTCTGTAGTTTATTGATTTGTGTGTTTTCACATGTTTAATGGTACCACATTAGGTTGATGGCATTATCTAGGTGGCTACTAACTAGTTCAGTAACTATACACAAATCATGCTCTGTTCAAGAAGTGTTAATTTTATGAAATTCTCTTTGCTAATTAGCTCTGGCTTTGTTAAAAGTGTGTAGGGAATTAATGAAAACAATCACATGTAACTAACCTGACGGATTGATCATTTTCAGTATCTGCGAAGTGTCCGTCCACTAATGGATGATGAGAATTATTCTCGAATGGAGAAGCTTGCACTTGATTTTCAGACTGGAATTGGAAAGAAGCTTCAAAGGTAATGATTGTTTGCTGTTTTGGAATAGGTAGTATTTTTATTAAGTTAAGAGATTCGATACACACAGAAATAACAATAGCATGATACAGTATGCCAAATGAACAAATCCACTAGAGTTTGCAATTCTATTAACCCTATTCATGCCACAGTTGACTAAGGCGTGGCTGGGAACGTAGTGTGCATAGGTTCGAACCCTCATCACAGCCCTTGTGGATATGTTTAAGAGACCAGAGTTGCATTTTTATGGGTAACATTCAGAAACATCAGATTATGAAAATATACTTATGAAATTTAACCTATAGATAAACCTCCAGCCCAAGTTTCGGCATTATAACTCGAAAGAAAACTGGAAAGGGGGGGGGGATACAAAAGAAATGGTGACATTTAAAACGTTCTAAGATTATAGAATCTAAGTGATCTTTAAAATTTTGATTTTATCTAGTAGAGTAGAGACTAAAGTAACATTTTTAAAGAAGATATTACAAGAAATATTACAAGATATTACAAGAAGAAAGTTGTTGAAAAATAAATTATTGGAAGTGACCCATCACTTTACCAGAAAACTGCAATTTTGAAAATGTAACTCAAAATATAATTTTAAAATAAAATTTCCAATTTGTAGAGCAACACTGTATAAGGACATAATATATAAAATACCTTAAAATTGGTTCATAATTACAAAAAATCTGAATTTTAAAGATCTACAATCGTATTTTTGAGCAAAATAGCATCACTTATTGCATCAATGGTAGATGGGGTAGATATTGCTAAATTTTCTTCCAACTTCACATGATTATTGGTGGGGCTACATCCTCAAACTCAGGGTATTTTCAGGGAAATTGCATGCCAAATAGTTGAGAAAAAAAAATGCTTAACCTTCTATAACTATCAATTCTTCAATAATCAGTCTTATTTACTTCTGCAGGTATCTGATTATCAAGAAAGTATTTTATAGTGAGCAGGAAGTAATTTTTTTTTTTTATCTATTAGAATCTGGTCAAAGATGGTTGGAAATCAGTTTATTTGCTATTTCAGATACCTTGTTTTGAAGTCATGGTGGGCAAGTAACTATGTAACAGATTGGTGGGAGGAGTTTGTATATCTGCGAGGTCGTTCACCAATCATGGTGAACTCCAACTTCTATGGTACAGATGCCATTCTTCTCCACCCTACGCATGTTCAAGCAGCTCGTGCAGCAAATGTGGCTCATGCAGCTTTCATATTCCGGCGGTTGATAGATAATCAACAACTTGAGCCAGTAAGTAGGTACAATATGTCTTTAATTTTAACTTCAAGTGTTTATTTTGCCCTATTTATGCCTGATGGATTTAACTTTAGCTCTTGGTCCCTAAGAAAGGTTTTCCTATGGTGTTCACATATGCTGCAGGTATTTGTTTTCGTTGTGTTAGTGCTGGTTCTTGAGCTCCCTGGGGTGCTGTTCATTTGCCTGGTATCTGGTTTACCATCTGACTGGGTCATTGGTTCTGGATTTCTTTGGACTTGTTTTGAAGCATATTTTCTGGCCATGCCATGATCAACCAGTCTGTGATTCGTACATCAGGCTGCAAGCAGCCGCATCCAACAGCCTGGTTGACCAGTCCAGCGACCAGGAGGCCTGGTTGACGACTGGGCCGTGGGGACGCTAAGTCCCGGAAGCACCTCAAGGTAACCTCAAGGTATGCCTATCATTGCCAGTTTTCTCTCTTAGGGGTGCAATGCTTGGTACTATTTGTTGAGCTTATAATGTCTGACGTTCCAGGGTGCTGGCTGGTGTCCTTCATGCCTAGCCTTTTCTACTGTTCGATTTTCAGTCTGGGGTTTCCTGCTTTGCACCGTATTCTTGGGGAAAGGGGAGGGGGGGCAGAGTCAGGAAGGGAATATGTAAACTGACCTTTGCAAAAGTGGCTTGAGAAAATGAATAGATTTGGATAGTAGTGAGGGTAACCACAAAGTAGTAACCATGTAACATAAGGGATGTAATTAAAAAGGAATTGATAGTCTACGGATAAAAATGGTGTATAACAGTACTTGTACATGTTGATACAAGTGTTGGGCATGCTTAGAGTTGAAGTTGGTTATCAAGTGCTGTTCTGGCTCTTCCTACCAGTCCAATCCAACTTTCACTCAGATGTCTCCTGTAGATAAATTTCTTGTTATAATATTTGGAAAAAGGTAAAATGCAAGCACTCATTACCTTCAATAACTGGTATACATTTGTATCCAATACCCTATTAACGCTTAATTTGGGTAGTTAATGGGTACACACGTCTTGTTAGCCAACTACAATCTTTTTACTTAGCTCTGTGGCTAACACAGGTACAGTTGACTCTGGGTAGAACTGTTTTGTGGATACTCGGTTACACCAAGATAACTACAGTACTGTACTGAGATTTTGGTTTCAGGGCTCCTACCTGTACTCACCTAATTGTGCTTGCAGGTTTTGAGCTCTGGCTCTTTGGTCCTGCCTCTCAACCATCAATCAACAAGTACCACTTGTGGTGTGGATCGGGTGGCAGTCGTGTGACTTCCATGGCTGTGTTGTCTCCCAGACAATCTTGTCATTTGTTCTGCCCTCCCTATGTTGAGAAGTTGCCAAGAAATGTTTTCCCTTCTGTTTTGTGGCAAAACAGTGGCAGATGTGTAGAAATTTGAAAACTACAATGAAAGGACCTAGCAAAGGGGGGAAAAAGTGTGAACTGATAAAACAGCACTTTGAAGGAAGGAACGAGTTTTTTTGAAAAGTTAAATGGGAGACCAATTTATGAACGTTTTCTGGCCACTCCAAGCTCGATGGACCAAGCTCTCACAAGTCAAGCCTAGCCCTGGGCTGGGCTTGGGGAGTAGAAGAACTCCCAGAACCCCATCCAAGTACAATCCAGGAGTTTTGTTAACTCGTTATTTTAAATATTTTGTGCGAGTGTTGGGGGTTTGAAAGGATGAAGGTAGTGTCATATTGATGGCACATAAATTTTTTAGTTTTTTTTATGGACTTAGAAGATATTAGTGGGGAGAAATCTATTACAGATAGTTAACTTGAAAATGAATTATCAAAATTAGATGTTTTCAACATTTTCTCACTTTGCTATGCCTAAACTAATTATTAGACTTTTTCCCATTAGAAAAAATGTTTTGTGGTATAGAAAAGAAAAATTTGTGCATCAGGAAATTGGCTTAATTTAGGGTACACAGTTAGGGTTTTAAATGACCATCAATTTCTTTAGATGTTTTCATTATAATGAGATTTATAGGTTAAAGGTATATTACAAACTGAATTTATTCTTTGATGTTAGAAATTGCTAGAATATTTTATTGATTTGAAAAAATATAGTAGCCCTGATTTATTTACAGTATTGACAAATAACATTTACATTAGATATTTTATAAGAGTAATGTATCTTGGTTACATAAACATTGTAACATCATCAGAGAGTGCATTGGCCTCATTGTTTGAGACCCACACACCCCAAGTGAATGGAAGGAGTATCATGGTTACATTTGTACCCAAGAAAGTGGTATACTTTCATAGCTTATTACAGATCATGTTAATATTCTGGTAATGTCCGGTGCAGGGCGGACAGTCCATTTATATTGTAATTGTGTAACCCTTGCAGTGCAAAGATTAATTATCAATAGGTGCTTCTAATTTTCTCATGTATATTTTTCCAGATAATGGCTCAGAATTTGGTGCCACTGTGTTCATACCAGTATGACCGCACATTTAACACCACTCGTATCCCAGGCATCCAGACGGATAAAATTGTCCATTTCAGTGACTCGACACACATTGTTGTGTACCATGCAGGCCGATTCTTCAAAATGCCTTGCTACTACAAGGGCCAGCTTCTTACTCCTAAAGAACTTCAGATGTAAGTTATGTGGCAATCATACGAAGCAGTTGATTAAACTCTTGAGTTAGTGCCTTTAAAAGTTTATAACCCTGTAATTGCTCGATTGCACAAATCCTGCATGAGGTTGGTATATCATTAATTTTGTGTAAACTTGGTATACAAATTAATTAGAAATTAATTTTGTATATTCTGTACAGTACTATAAATATCTGTATATTTAACATCCTTGGCTTCACCCTCTTCATGAAGTTATTTTAAATAACAAAAATATTTGCCTTCCAGTCAGTTTGAGCGTATTCTGGCTGATGAGTCTGTCCCAGAGAAGGGTGAAGCCAACTTGGGGGCATTGACTGCTGGAGAGCGTAAACCATGGGCTGAAGCACGTACAAAGTTTTTCAGCAAAGGAATCAATCAAATATCATTGGCAGCGATTGGTAAGATTCCTGGAAGGACGAAAGATTATGCATTTCGTTATGTTGACTCGCTAATTTCTGGCAAGCAGTTATAAATGTAATAACCACATGTCAACAAGAACTACCTTGAGATTGTTTTCAGAAAAGTTTGAATTTGAAATTTTTTCAAACATGAATGACATCTTAGATAAATGCAGTCTGTAAATGAGTATCAGAATTTGAAATTTAATAATGGTAACTAGATCTAATTAAATTTATTTTCAGTTTGTTTATGGCATTTCCAACAGAAAAGGCTGCTTTTGTGTTGGTATTGGAAGAGGACGAATATGACTATTGTGAAAATGATCCTAGTCAGTTGGACAGGTTTGGTCGAGCCATGCTTCACGGCAAGGGTTACGACCGCTGGTATGACAAGTCCTTCAATGTCATCATCATGAAGAATGGCAGGGTAAAGTTTGAAGTTTCTTTAATTCACTTCTATTTTTTTTCTGTTTAATTTTTAATGGTTAAATATAGATTCATTATTGATAGTACAGTACTTGGCATAAGCTACAAGCAGATACTATTTCTGGTACAATATTTTGTAACTCCATTTAAGTGTAAGTGATAAAAGTAAGGTAAATGTTTTCTTATATCTTGCATTACTGGTAATTTTAATTCTCTTTAAATATTGTGTCAGGGGTTCCAGGCAAGTTTCTTAAGCAGTATGTCTTGTGCAATAACCAAAGATTCTATTTGTTTCAATCTTGCTTGTTTTGTTGTATTTCCTTTAGTTTTCTTTTGCATAGTCTTTCTAAGACTCATTTTTTCTAGTGCTTGCTTGTGTTAAGAGCTCTCAATTCAATTCTGTGCACAAGTTATTTTCTATATGAATTAAATATTCTTTACTCCGGACCACTTTTAAATACGGTAGCTTCCCTCACATTTAATAGTCAGAGTGCACGTCTCACTTCTAAAATGTAATTGTGCCAAGTAATGGACTATGCATTTTCAGGGTAATTATATATTATTCCTTTTGCAAGTTAGGTTATGGTAGCAAGATTAGATTTTGGTTTCTTAATTAGATTTACTCTTATGTTGTGAATTTTGCTTTACAGATTGGCTTTAATGCAGAACACAGCTGGTAAGTACTGAACATTGTTTAATAGTACTGTACTGTGCTTGGTAAAGTCTTTATCTCTTTGTGTAGAGATTACCCTGTCTACAACATCATATAATTTTAGCTTTTAAAATTGGTACAATGGTTGTTGAAAACATAATTATAAATCACTAGCATGAGCACCTGCTTCTCCTGCATGCACATGTATCATATTAGATACAGTATCCAAAACACAAATCGCACATCGACGTACGTGTATCATTCACTCGTAACTTTCACACAGCATGCCCTTCACATGCATGTACACTCTCTTCACTGATAGATCAGGAATAGTGTAATACCTGGAACCAATTAGTATTATGAATATTTCAGGGCAAATTAGACTTGCCATGATTATTGATAAAGTAAAATTCCAAAGACGAGTTGTGTAATTAACATCTGATTGCAATCAGCCTCTGGAATCTCTCACCCCATCGGTGTATCTAAAATAATGGGGCTCTTTGAATGTTGTAGTAAAAAAGAATACGCTCCTTGATTATAGAAGTATGTCTTCTACACTTCGCCGACTGACCGGCTCGGCCGACTGGCTCCCAGGGAGCCGGTCGGCCGAGCGGACAGCACACTGGACTTGTGATCTTGTGGTCCCGGGTTTGATCCCGGGCACTGGCGAGAAACAATGGGCAGAGTTTCTTTCACCTTATCCCCCTGTTACCTAGCAGTAAAATAGGTACCTGGGTGTTAGTCAGCTGTCACAGGCTGCTTCCTGGGGGGGGGGGGGTGGAGGCCTGGTCGAGGACCGGGCCGCGGGGACACTAAAACCCCGAAATCACCTCGAGAATCTCAAGAAGATGTAATTCTGGAGACTGGTGCATCTTTAATTGCACTTTAAATAACTATGTTGAGTTGCTTGATTTGCCTTATTTGGTTAAATATAGCTTAATTGAAAATGCTATTGAGAAACAAGTTTTACAGTTTATTAGATATTTTGCATGAAAGTCTTCTGATAATTTCCTTACTGGCAAAATATCATATTCAATAAAGTTTACTGTTTATCTAAAACTTTTCCTTAGATGCTTGGTTAAACTTGGTATTTGGAGCTCATTTTTCAGACATTTTTTCTTGGTTGAAGGTATATAGCCGACATGGTAATAATGCTCTAGAAATAAGATCGTAGGCAATAGCAGAAGTAACTGGAAAGACAAACTTCTATTCAAAAAGAGCAATTTCACCATCTGCTTCCATGAAAGATGGTTATAATGTAGTCCACAATGAGGCTAATCCTTTGTGCTCAGCAGCAATTAAACAGAATTTTCTGCATAAATTAAATCCATGAGTTGTGCTACTTCTATTTAAAAAGAGAAGACAACATTGTTTGGCTGGAGAACTTCTTGGTGTATCCACTCAAGAACATCTCCAAGAAAGTTATGACTATCTAACCCTGAACCTCTAAAGCTGGAAGGATATCTGGAAGCAAGATTATCTTACTTCCTTGAGAAAATGAAAGCACTTCCTATGTTTATCTTCGAAGTTAGTGTGGTTTGGGAATTAGCTTCTCCCTATTGACTGAGGATGGACACGTATTAATGAATATTAGCACACTACATAAAGAACTCACACCAAAACTAAAACCATTCAGTTAATGTTACAATTACAAGGAAGAATGTAAAGCAGTGTGTATGACTGACTATAGGTCTGACAAATATTTCTTTAATGTGCTGGTGTTGTAGTGGCATTACCTGCTAAAATACCCCAGGCAGTAGAAGCCCCCATCAAAGATGACAATTATAATTAATGATCTTGTTGCTTTGTTATTATTTAATGGTTAAAACTTTGATGTTGAGTTAGGGGGGGGGGTTTAAAGTCCTATATTAGAAGTAAAATACTTTATTCATAAGTGTTTGTTTTGTTCATTTAGTTGGGTTAGTTTACACAAATTTACAGTAAATTATTTACTTACCTAAGAAAGCTGCAAAAGGCAGTTACTGCTGCCTTTTTACCTAAGAAAGAATTATTTACCCAAGAAAGTCGTAACAGTAACATAATGTGCAATACTTTTTATTATAAACTGTATACTCAAGAATTATACTTAGATGCGACTTTTATCAATGATCATTCATTATCATTTATCAATTACTACAGTTGTTAGAATCATAATTTGAGAATATTTCCATAAAAAACTTATATTAATTGTTACAGTAATGACTGGGCTAAACAGGTGTACATCAGCACCAGTAGATTAGTTTTTACTTCAGAATATTACAATCTTCTATAAAAATGTTGAAGACTAAAACCATTATATGCTATGTTATTTCTTTGTTTTATGCTTGGTTCTAAATAATTGATTCTGAGAGAGTTTTTGCCATTGGCTTTATGAAAATGTATGAATGCCACGGATAATTTCAGAGTTTAAACCAAAAGCTTCCTGTTTTTGCATAAATGAATATGCATAATGGAGATGTTGTAATATCTCAATTTATTCCTCGCGCACATGCTCGATCTTGTGCACTCGCTCTCACATACTTGCAAATTGTGCGCACACAACACATGCACATGTAGGCACAGATAGGTAAGCATGCATACATTTTGTAAATTAGGTATACAGTACTGTATGTAATTTTCATTTAACCATTTTGTCAGGTATGTGTGTGTAAATAGTACTTAATTACCATAATAAAAGTATTACTTAATACTCTTGTTATATTGCTCAAGTCCCATTAATATAGGCTAGTACTTTAAGGCTTTACAATATGATCTTCAGTCCAACCCGTCCGACCCGTCCACCCCACAACCTCCTGTCACTGATGCTTTTAATCTCCCCGCCCTCCGCTGCCATACTCCCTCGTGTGTGTTTTTCTTCGTGTTGTTTGCCCCCCCCCCCCCTTCCCGTGTTTCCATTAATTTTCCTCACACCCTTTGCAACTTTATGGATTTGATATATGGTGGTGGTCAGTTCTCGATGGCCATTTGTACCCAATTTACTTACAAAGAGTTTACTTCCTAACCCCTTACAGGGCAGATGCAGCGGTCATTTCCCACCTGTGGGAGTTTGTCATAACTGAGGACCTCATCACAGTTGGGTGAGAGTGCATTTCTTTATGCTTTGCTCATCATGTTCAGGAATGTGGTACATGCTATTGCTTTCATGTTCTAAATGTAATTTTTTTTTTATTTTACAATTATACGTTCAAAATTCTAATTAAACTTAGAATTGCAGATTAAGCCATTATGCATTTAATAGGTTGCAATTTTGCAAAACTCGATTCTGTATCAGTTTAAAGCAAACAGGAATTTAGTTAGGCCTATAGTGTAGTTCTGAATGGATACTGGGATACAGATTATATACTGTATATTATTTGAAATGGTGGAAAACTGAATGTAAAATTGTTTACATTCATTAAAATTTTGCCCAGGAATGCTTGCCAAAGGCAAGCTTTTGTGAAGATATTAATGTTATTAAATATGGATCAAAATTTTAATATTCTGTGCATAAGAATCTCTTGCAATATTCCTGGAAAATACAGTTGCTGGTTTTTGCTTTTCTGTAACCAATCATAATTTTATTCTGTTTCAGAAAAGGCTAACATGTTTGATTGGATCTATATTTGCAAGAAAAAATGTTCATGGGATTTTTGTTACTTCCTTGGTATGTAATATACAATGCTATCACAATAGTGTAATTTCAAAATTTTCCAGATACAAATGAGAGACGATTACATACACTTTACCGATTGCAATTTAAGGCGGTATATTTATTTACTCATTTACATGCATACATTGAGTACTAGAAAGTTTATAGGGAGTTTTTCTTTAAAGTTAAGATGTATAATAGAACAAAGAAGTTATGATCTTTAGTTGATATATTGATGCCTGAAGCACATTCCTGAGCATGATCTGCCTCCTTTTATTACAGCAAGGTGTGGTCTGGCCGGCTTTGTTGCCCTAGACCATGATTTCGTGTTTCTTTAGCAGTAGGGGGTTTCTATTTAGTTCAGGACTGTTATTTAGAAGTGGGAAAATAATTTCCATGCAGCATGTTACTATTGAATATTTGCTTCTCATGTCATTCTTTAGTTCCTTTTTATCAGGTATCCCTCAAAGGGGATATCTTATAGTATTAAATGAATTATCTGATGTGTGCATTGTCTTTGCAATATCTTTAGAACACCTTCATGCATTGGCTTGTAATTTTTCCGTGTACGTAGGTGTAAATAATGTCCCTGTTATTGCGTAACATGGTCTCCTTGTTCGCAGATTTTATGAATTTTAAATATCATTACGGATGGGTGATGTTAATATTGAGTAATCCCAACATAGCTACAGCAAAGTTTTACTAATGTCCTGATGCCAACAAGACATAATCCTAGATGGTTTGGATGCAAAATGATAGCATCGGAAGACTTGTATGTGATGCAGTGCTTTTAATTTTTTTAATAATTTAACCTACTTGAAGGAGCGAGCTTGTACTATGCAATGTTAATATTTAGAATTGGCAGATGAAGCAAAGATGCAGAAGGTAAAGACTCGAAAGGATTATAGTAGAGCATTGCAGAAGGACCTTGATAAACCTAAAAGGAGACAAATGGCTATTACAACTCAACCCGAGATGGGAGTCCATATAATTCTAATATTAACACCAGAGGTGCACATAAAACAAGATAATATCACTGGCATACGAGAAGCTGGTGAACAGAAGAACAGTACTGTACATAGGTGATTATTTAAAAATCTAAATTGTTTTAAAACCATTTACCCAGCCTATGTGAAAGCATTACTAAAGTATTTTTAAATACACGTTTGTAACATGACTACTCCTAGAATCGAGAGAGCGTGTCGGTAAGAACAGGTTAAGGGATCCCTTATCTTTGCAGCCTTTAAAGATAGGAAAAGAAAAGAAATATAATCACTGCATGTATTGAGGAATGGACAAGGTAGAAAGAACAGCCTCTTTAAATTGAAAGAAAATAAAAACGAGACCATTGGTGAAAGTTGAAAATGCAGTAGGTGTAGAAATCCATAGAAATTTTCATTCTTTGCAGTGATCAGCAAATGGAATACTGTACATTGAAATGTTTTTTTTTTTTTTTAACCACTTTTATCCACAACTGTAAGGACAGAGATTATATAAAACTTCAGCAAAAAAAGAGAATTAAAGTGTGTGCAATGTACTATAATCAGTGTACCTGCAATCATTGCACTCCCTGTACTTATTACACTTCAATTGATGTATCTTAAGGTGTGACTACTGGGGGATAACTGTTGATGGCTCTCAGAACCTACCTAGTTATTACTTTTACGGTACATTTGTTTCAATTAAGGCTTCTTGGAAATTTAATTGTTCATTGCATTATGCACCTCCTTAAACATTTTCTTATAATGTTTATATTTTTGTATTCAGTTTGTTTTCCCTGTGCACATTCTATTTTCCATATTTAAAGTTTTAGCATGATTTGGCATGGTTGAGCCACACACTCCAGAGTGCTTCTTCATGTATATATGGGATTAGAATCCAACTAAACAGCAGGTAAACTAAAGTAGATTTCGAAATGGGGAAAACTAAATACAGGTACAATAAAAGAGGAGAAATGGTTAAGGGAAGCTATTCAGAGGACAAAATCCAACATTATAGGCTACGGGAGCCTGACAATTGAGTGGACAGAGCTTTGGATTCATAGTCCGGAGGTTCCGGGTTCGATCCCCGGTGGAGGCAGAAACAAATGGGCAGAGTTTCTTTTATCCTGATGCACCTGTTCACCTAGCAGTAAATAGGTTCCTGGGAGTTAGATAGCTGCTATGGGCTGCTTCCTGAGGGTGTGTAACAAAAAGGAGGCCTCGTCAAGGACCGGGCCGCGGGGACGCTACGCCCCATATCATCTGAAGATAACCACTGCTGCTATAATTTGTGTGCTACTGACGAATAGAACCATTAATTGGTGAAAGTACAGTACTGTAGTTCTTGTGAAAATTCGTGCAGATCTGATTGTGAATGATTTGGTTCAGGTAAACATTTAGCAAATAGCTCAAGAAAAGTTTATATTTCAGTGCAGTTTAGACCATTGGCAGTACTGTGTATGTTTATAATACTATTGATATAATTATGGCAGATTGAAGAATAAGAATTATGAATAAAACATTGAAGTATTTGTACCTTACAAGAAGTTCTATATAAATATAGCTAGAAATTCCTGTGCCAAAATAGTGTGTGTTGATGTGTGGAGATAATAGAAAGAGTCTAGGTACTTTTGTTGGTTTTTATAAGAAGGCGCAGTTGTAACAGCTGCACAGGTTTAAACTTGGGAATGTAATCTTTTACATTACACACAATACTGTTTTGCAGCTACCTGGTAAGTGTATTTATAAAGAAACATTAATTTAGGTTGTTTAATGTGTGGAGTAGAATATATGTACTCAACTAGAAATACATTTAATTTGTTTGCTATTGTTATTGCATCAGGTACCTGAGGATGCTGGGGTCTTCATCATTATTATTATTATGCATCTCCCATTTAACTTTCCCTTTGTCTTTCATTTTTCTTGGTGTGTAAACCTGATGTTGCTGAAGCCTTCTTTGATTATCTTCCCAGGGCAGATGCCCCTGTCTTGGGCCACATGTGGGAATTCATTATGGGCGAGGATATCTTTGAATATGGGTACAGTATAAGAAGCATGCTTGTGTGCCCTGTTATTCCCTATTTACCCATAGAAACTTACTTTGAGAACTGCTAATCTTTTGAATTGATCTTCCTAATAGTGTTGAGAGGTTTGAATTCATTAATATAGTTTCTACTAAACTACATTAAGTATTGTGTACGAAAGCTCTTTCTCCTCCCCTCTCCTCCAACCATTAAAAAGAAAAAAATTGCAAGAGGATAATGAGCAAATATGACCCCATGAGGAAGCATACTGTGCAATTTATAAAAGCATTAAGTATATTACCTGGAGCATACCTGGAGAGGGTTTCAGAAGTTCTTCTTCCCTAGCCCGCCCAGGGCCCAGGCTCGACTTGTGACAACCCGCAGACCCACATATCCACTGCAGCCTGAATGGTCCAGCACTTCTTGCAAGAACCTGTCCAAGTACCTCTTGAATACATCCACCTTCGTTCCAGCAATATTTCTAATGCTTGCTGGTAGGGTGTTGAACTGCTGTGGACCCCCTGATGTTAAGACAGTGCTCTCTAATTGTGCCTATGGCACCTCTACTCCTTACTGGTTCTATTCTGCAATTCCTTCCATACCTTTTGCTCCAGCATGTTATTCTGCTATGCAAATTTGAGACCTGGCCCACCAGTATCTTGCATACATATATTATTTGATACGTTTCTCATCTCCTTTCCAGAGAGTAAGTTTTGAGAGCTTTGAGACGGTCCCAATAATTTAGATGTTTTATCGTTTCTATGCATGCCGTATATGTTCTCTGTATTCCCTCTAATTCAGAGCTGTCTCTTGCTCTGAAAGGGAAAGTGAGAGTACCAAGCAATACTCAAGATGGGATAGCACCAGATATTTAAATAGTGTTAGCATTGTTACGGGGTCCCTGGATTTGAATTTTCTCATAATTCATCCTATCATTTTCCTGGCTGTCGCTATATTTGCTCGTTTATGTTCACTAAATGTCAGGTCGTCAGCCATCATAATTCCCAGGTCCTTTACACGATACTTTCCTTCAATGAGTAGGTCTGATTGTGTCCTGTACCCTGTGTTTCGTTTAAGTTCCTCATTTCCGCCATACCTCAGTACTGTACCTTGAACTTATCACCGTTAAAAATCATGTTATTTTCAGTTGCACAATCGAATTCTTTATTTATAGCCGTCTGTAGTTTTTCAGTGTCTTCTACAGTGGCAATTTTTCATGCTGATTTTTGTATCATCTGCAAAGGATGACACGAAGCTGTGACTATTACTTTTGTAATCAAATTGCAATAGAATGCTCTAAAGGGATATACACCCTGTATGCATATAAGGGGAAATGGAAGAACAACACTACCGATACCATAAGAATAAAGTACATCATCATGTAAAAAACCTGCTTTTTGGCATTATTTACTCTCATTATTCATCCCCGACATTATTACACTACAATATTTCATTCGTTTTTGTCTTGCTTCCTTCACATAAGTGTTTGTACCACAATATCACATGTAGACAAAAATGCAGCTTTTCTCCAAGTTGAACCGAGTCATAGTAGTTATCCATACATAAATAATAACCTCTGTTCTTCAGTGGTTCAATCAAGCCCATAACCGTTTGAATTGTCTTCTTCCCAATTCCTGCATACACTTCAAAATCATAGATGTAACCAGTATGCAATTCACCCAGCATGTACAGCTTTACTCCATACTTATCATATTTATTTAGATAATAAACCCTGAAAGTTAGACTGACATTGGTCCATGACATTGTGCCTTCATCCAAACACAGATGTTTCTGAGGAATGTATACTGTTTTGCATTTGTTAGATATTCCATGACTGTTCTAACTTTTATTAGTCTGTCTTGATTGTCTTTAGGAATGGCATTATTGTTATGAGTATGAAAATACTTTGCAATCATTACATACCGTTTTGCAGTCATAAAAGTATTGAAAGAAGGTACATGCCCCAATTTACCTGTTTGCCAGTACATATTCATCGTTGGCATCTTCAAAAGCTCATTAACTTTCGGTCCCAAATATCTGGCAAGCTCTTTTACACTCACTTCATCCCACTCATTGTTTGTTTTGTTAGAAGCTTTGCACAAGCTTTGTGATGCATACAAGTTTTTCATATACCGTAAATTTCAGCAAATCTCGTATAATAAATAACTAAAAATCCCAGAGAAGTGCTTGGCACTGGTACAGTCAAGCCTGGTGTTCCATTAAAATTGTGTGTACAAATGGTGCAGTGTTGTCAGTAGACCAGGCTTCACCAGAACTGGTGCCTGGGGTACGTGGGTTACGTTGGGTACTAGTTCTAAAGGCAGGGCCTGCACGTGGGGTGGTATCATCATCACTTCCTTCACTTTCAGTTCCATCCTCACTTGCTCTTTCAGTTTCACCCACCTCACTGTCTACATCATTTTTCACTTTCAGCACTTTCAAGATCAGAATATTCTTTAACGTGGAATTTTGTTTTGTTTCACTTTTCTGTACTTTTGGCGAACACTCCTTAGCTTTTCCCTCATGTGTTTCTTTACCTGCTTTCGTCATGGATGTGCTATGTTCTTGATTCCTTTCCATCTTGGAGTAAATGTAATGTGTGTATAAAGGCAGTAACAAATATAGCCAAGGTAAAAGTCAGAACGGTGCAAGTTTTGATGCAAGGGGAGGCCGCAGCGGTCACGAGCATGGTCACAATAACAATGGGCCTCCTGCGTGGGTGGCGGTGCCGTGATGTCACATGGTGTATACTGTGCAGAGAATGGGAAGACGTTGGCGCACATTTTAAAACACGTCCCGTAATGATTGGTTAAAAATGGAATTTTAACAAATATTTAAATTTTGGAAACGTGTCCTCGCCCAAGATCTGTAGATTTATTTAAGGACGCAATATGCATTCCCGCCCAGGCAAAATGTTAATTTTTCTGGTTTTGAATCTCGGGCACTAAAATAGCTGAATCTTGTGGGTTGTACATGTTAATTTTTCTATGCTTAAGTGTTCTTTGACCAGCACACCACCACCTCGACTTTTTTTGTTTTCTCCTTTTCTTGGCATAAGATTACATAGTATATCCTATTGGAAATACCTTCTCATTTAGATATTACTCCTAGATTTCTTTCCCTGTAATACAGTTGTGAATTACAAAATGCTGTTCAATTTTCCAGACTAAGTATTTTGATAAATTTCCCATAGGTAGTGATTAGAAATGATATATACTGAACCGTACTATGCATGTTGACTAACATGAAAATTAATTCCATGTCTACCTGGAAATAATTAAGACCGTAAGTCACGGACATTTAAATGATATGTAGTTCTAATGATATAGATCTTCCACTATCATTTAAATGATAGTGGAAGAGAGAAGATTTGTATGCCTTGTTTTTTCTTGAAGCTCAATGTTTTCTTTGACATGGCAATCATGCTGCAACCCTGCTTGGTTCTTTGCTATATTTTCAACCTCACCACTTTGGCCTTTCTGCTGTGTGCTGTTTTATATTTTCTTATCAATCTTGGACCTAGTCTGTAACACCTTGTGTGTGCTTGCTGAAGCCATATGTAGTTCTGAAGTTGCAGACGATGAGTCACAATAACGTGGCATAAGTATGTTGACCAGACCACACACTAGACGGTGAAGGGACGACGACGTTTCGGTCCGTCCTGGACCATTTTCAAGTCGATTGTCTTGAGAATGGAATGTCTTCTCAATCGACTTGAGAATGGTCCAGGACGGACCGAAATGTCGTCGTCCATTCACCTTCTAGTGTGTGGTCTGGTCAACATAGTTCTGAAGTTTTTTATATATATATATATATATATATATATATATATATATATATATATATATATATATATATATACAAAATGGACATGTGGAGACTGTAGCACTAAATAGCTAAACTGTGTGCAGGTTTTATCTGTAATTTAACGTTATGAAGATGGGGAACAACGTCCCTCGCTGTAGGGGATGTGTGAAAGAGCCTTACAAATTTTGTAGATTTTAAATAATAATTTTGTTGCCTTAGATACTATAGTCTTGTACACCATCAGTGATTTAGTATCATAAATATTAAGTTGCAGAATACAGATGAAAAAAAAGTCCATTACGAATAGGAAAGTTGAATATTTTATGAAAATTTTAAATGATGGTCTTTTATTCTAACATTTCTCTGTGCAACCCAGATACGATGAAAATGGAAACTGCACTGGGAAAGTGACCTGTGATCCCCCTGCACCAGTACGCCTTAAGTGGGACCTAAACCAAGAGTGTCTCCTGGCCATTGATTCTTCATTCAGGGTGAGTATTCAGTGTGGAAGGGAATATCACAGTCATGCCAAGTGTTCGGTATGTGGATGCACTCGCTGCTGATTTTCCTAACTGAATCTTTATCTATAGAATGTGATTAAACATTATGGGGCTAGTAGAGTACAGTAATAGGAGCTACACGAAGGAATGATTGTTGTATTTCTTAAATCTTCAGGTGTGGAAGTATAGTATTAATTAAGAAGTGATAAATTGAGATGAGTAAAGAATGAAAATTTATCAATAATTTATACTTGCCTACCTAGCAATGACTAGGCTGACAGCTATTAAATTCACTGAAACCTTGCCTCTTATATCATGACATAAAAGAAAATGATCTTGGTAAAGAAGCCTCAATTGAGAAAAATACATATGCATGGCAAACATTTTGCAGCATTTTGGAGCTTGGCCTATTGTATCTTCCCTTGGTGTGACGGTACCTTGTGGTCCTAGATGTTAAAAGTTAAGAATTTTTATGCATATGAGGAGCTTTGTCTGGGATGATATTAGAGTACCAGAAATAGAATTTCTAGTATACAAGTCTTCATGAGCTGACTAATCCTTGCACTGCTCCAGTCGCTTGAGAGGGATTTGATCATATGCTCAAATTGCCTGGAGATGATTTAAGGTGCCCCCACTATTCAAAAACTTGACTAATTCTAGGGGAACGTCATTTGACACTAAAAATTTCTGTCGATCGTTTGCCATGTTTAGAAAAATTCCTGAAAAACTGTAAGTGAGAAAAAATTAAAATACAGTATTTCCATTTCTCCATAAATATTCTTCCACATGTAATTACAGAATGAGAGGTACACTCATGGTGTCTCGTCTTACCAGTACCTTGTCGCATGATGTTTATAAACTACCGACAGTTTTGGCATTCACCGCCTTTCACTTCACTTGCTACAGCCATCTACCACCACTCTGCAAAAGAGAATTTTCAAATATTTCATTGGCACTTTGTTTCCTTGGCATAAATCTATGATCTCTTGTTCTTGAAGTTGTAGGTTTCAAGAATTCTTTTGTGAATTTTGTCGATTCCTGTTGCTATTTTGTATGTAGTGATCATATCACCTGCTTTTAATAGCTTGGCATATTTAATGCCTCTAGCCTCTCCTTGTAACTTTTGTTTTTTCACTTCTGGAAGCCACTTCATGGCATGTCTTTACAGATTGTTCAGCTTATTGATGTGTTTCTTGATTTTGGGTACCATAAAAATGCTGCATATTCCAATTTCTGTCTCACAAGTCATGAAGAGCTGATTTAATATTTCACCATCCATGGATTTAAGTGATTCTGAAGTTGGAAAGTGTAGCATAGTGGCTTGCCCCTTTCTTTCAATCGATACTCTCGCCGATGTGGTGCCAGTTAGGCCATATGTCATCTTCCAGAGCCCAACATCATTTTAAATATTATGTTAATATCCTTTTCCCTACACTCTGTGGTAGTATTGGAGTGGTAAACCAGGTAAACCAATCATCAGTTGAAACGTGTTATTGAAACAAATGTTTTATGTGAGTTATGTGATTTATCAAGTTTTGTAATCTTGTAAATAAAGAGAAAGGGGTGAAAACAATCAGTGAAACATCCGAGGATAAAACAGTGTCAGCAAAGTTTGGCACTGGGTGTTGACGGGCGCCAGACACAGCCACCACGTATTCTTCCGCACAACCTTCACCCAGTGAAATGATAAATATTCACTTATTATTTTTTTAATTTTTTAATTTATTTGCTCACAGGCAGGTACTGTATGACTATTTTTCCATAGTCACTGTCCAAGGGTCCTTGATTTTGTCCGTCTGGATTTTGATTGATGGTGGTGTACTACTGTGTGTAATTGTGCGCTTCAATGCTACTGGAGCCAGAGAGTGCAGCCTCCTTGGGACTTATGGAGGATTTTTAACATGTACATTTCTTCCAAAATTGTCTTGTCTTTCACAATTGCTTTACTTTTGTATCTATTCTCTTTAGTCATTACTCATAAACCTTGATAAAATCTTGTGCATCACTTTCACGTGTAGTTGTAACCAAGATCAACAATTTTCTCCAGGTTGCTGAAGCTCTCCTGAACGACGTTGACCTACGTTTGTACATGCATACTTCCTATGGTAAGGGCTTTATGAAGTCATGCCGGCTGTCTCCTGATGCCTTCACACAGATGGCACTACAGTTGGCATATTATCGGGTATGTGTTTACTTGTGGAGACGGGCAATTTTGTCCTTAACTTACAGAGCGGGTGGCCGTTTCATTAGTCATAATTATTTTGAGAGAAAAATTGTAAAGTAATAAAATTGTTCGTGAATTGAGCTCTCTGACATTACTAGAACTTCAGTTAAGAAGATATTTATGATTTATAATATATTTTTTAATCTAAAGATATTGCTTTCCTAAATTTAGTTTTTCATGTACTGTACATGAACATGAATTCATGTACATGAATATCTCCTATAAATGTATTAAGTATTTATGGCATGTGATGCATATAATTGACAAATAAGGAGCATATACAGTACTACATTGAATTTAGTTAGATTTAATGTTTAGAATTTTTATATCAAATCCATATAATTGAGTGAACATATATAGATAAGTGACAATCTCTTAAGATGAAATTTTGTAAAACTTCAGGATGCAGGCAAATTTAACTTGACTTACGAAGCCAGTATGACCCGTCTATTCCGAGATGGCCGAACAGAGACTGTGAGACCTTGCACCATTGAGTCGGCAGCTTGGGTTAACGCCATGGAGGACAAAGCTGCAACTGTAAGTTGTAATGCCTTTTGGAACTTGTATAATATTTAATAATCATATACAATTGAGTATTGCCCAATTTCAGTTTTCCACAGATGTTTCTTCAGGCAAGTTCTTAAATCCATAAGCCAAGATAAGATTAAATCCATAAGTCACAGGAGGGCAGGTAGACATTCTGCATCAACATTGAAAAATAAACATTCAAAAGTCCCTGTAGGATTATGGAGCTAGGTAGGCTCCAACAAGCAATCCAGCCCGAAATGAATGCTTGGCTTAACAAATTACTACCAAGGAGCATGTACTCACACCCAGGTAGCTCGCAAGGCAACCCTAGTGGCACTGTGGTAACCCTCGCCCTGACAGACTTCCCATACAGCGCCTGCATGTATTCTATTCTGGGACGTTCAAGGCTTTTGGATATGACATTTTCTATGGAGATCCCCTCCGGTTCCCCAGAGCTATATAGGGCTGATATGTATGTATTAGACCGTGGCATCAGTCAATTCGATTGGAGTTGTAGCCTACCGGGGACCACGAGCCCAGAACCTGGCCCCCCCCCCCCTCTCAGAGAGGGGGCCAGGTTCAATGTTTAAAAGTAAACATTTCTAAAGTTTTATGTTGTTAACACGAGCACTGTACAGTACTTTGTATTATAAATAAAGAACACAAAAACCCAATTATAATGCTGTTGATGGTAAAAATTATGTACAATACATCCTAAAATTATAAAAATTAATCTTGAAGAAAGGAATTTGGAAAATGTTGATTTTTAATTTTTGTATTATTTAAAAAGTGTGGGAATGCCATAACATTTGCTTGAAATACATTGCAAAAAATAATTTTGCTTGAAAACATCTGTTTGAAATACATAGCAAATTCTATAATTAATTTTAATTTATTAAAAAAGCATGTGGATGTATTAAAGTGCCATTCCTTATTTCAGAATGAAGAGCGTGTTAAGCTACTGAAGGCAGCGTGTATCCAACACCAAAATGCATATAGAGATGCCATGTGTGGCAAAGGCATTGATCGTCATCTATTTTGTTTATACGTCATCTCAAAGTACTTGGAAGTAGACAACCCATTCCTAAATGTAAGCATTTCTTCTACAATATTATTATAAATTTTGTCACATTTTGCAAAATTTCTTTTGTCAATTCAGCTGAAGCGTTCCTTGAATTTGGTGGCCAGAAAAATAATTAAATTTTATTTAGGGGCCCAAATAATGTTTTTTGGTAGTTTTTTCAGTATTTTTTTTTTATCTGTAGATAGCCTAAATTATTACCTAGATTTTGAGCTTATTAAAAGAAATTGGTAAACTCCTAATTATTTTTCTGCGGGAGAAGCCTTGTCGGCTCCCTGGAGCTATTGGACTGGTATTGGCTAATATTAGTATGGGGCTTCAGTCATATGGAGTTATGCCTACCGGGGACCACTAGTCAGAACATGGCCCCCTCAGAGAGGTGCAGGGAGCAATGGCCTATGAAACTCTCACGTATGAAAGTATTCATGTCTGCTATCGACCAGGGTTGAGCATTCAAAAAGGTAGGTGCTTCAAAACAGACCCCCCTCCTGGTAGAAAAATTGCAACCTGAGACTGAACAAAGGCTAGAAACTCCCCCAAAGAATCCCCTCCCCAGAGGAGAAGAGGGAGGTTCTCGGTTGCCTGATAGGCTTCACCCTGCTGGTGTTCCTGCTGTGTGTTGGAGGTGGCCAGGAGTTCGTATCAAGGGCTGCATGCACTTGGGCTCCCTTCCCTAAGCCCCCTGTAAGTACATCCCTTTGGGATTCAGAGTTATCTGCTCTGGGTGCATCGGGTCCCCCATTCCCGTAGAGGTAGCGGCTGTTTAGCTTTCTGCCTTGCCCATGGCAGAATGTGTCATGATGAGTGTTGAAGCAACATTTTGGGGGAAAATAATGGCCAAGTGAATTAAAAATTTAGCCTTGTGAGTTTAGGGGTTCACAATACAGATGTGTACACAAAATTTATTTGATAATTTCAGGAAGTATTATCAGAACCATGGCGCCTCAGCACCTCCCAGACTCCACATGGACAGACTTCTAAAATGGATTTGGTAAAAAACCCAAGATGTATTAGTGCTGGTGGTGGCTTTGGGCCTGTTGCCGATGATGGTTATGGTGTGTCTTACATAATAGCTGGAGAAGACATACTCTTCTTCCATGTCTCCAGCAAGAAGAGTTCTCCTGTTACAGTAAGTATTTATGTAAAACTTCTCTGTAACATCCTTGCCACTCTTGCAGGGAGTCTCTCTTATTTTATTAATGACCACTATATAAACACTCATCCATCTGAGCAGCCTCCCAAGTGTCAGTTTTGTCTCGATCTACTGTATGTATGTATGTACATTCAATGGAACCTCGGTGTATGAATGCCCCATAGTATGAATATTTTTGGTGTACTACAACAATTTCATAAAAAAATTGACCCGGTGCATGGCGTTTGCGCTGGAGTAGACTCGATTGTTGAAGCTTGTATGGGTCAGGCACGAGGGTGCCGCTGGGCACGGGGCGGAGGCACACTGTTTACTAGTGTATCCCATCTAGCGACAACTGCACTTGAATTCTCTGAAGAATTTTTTTTTTTTATCTTTTCTTTTTTTTTTTTGTTAAACAGAAAAGTTTTATATATTAAACAGTGGGTCCCAAGAAAGTCGTAAAGTTCATCCTAAGAAAATAGTTGAGGATTACAATAGAGGAAAAAAAAGATATGTAAACATGAAGATGGTATGTGTGTGTGGTTGATCTGGCTAGGAAAATGGGTTCAGTATGAGAAAAGTGCAAAGTTTCACAGAAAATACTCACCCAGATAAAACTGGGTTGTTTTTGTGGTTATTTAGCTACAGGGAGCCACCAAGAAGCTCCCCAGAAACATAGCATTGAATGTAATGAAATGCCTCTTTCTAGTAGAGCTATGGTAGCTGTCGTCCTTCCTCCCTTCCATGTTCGTTGGTTCATTGCAGTGTTTACCTGCTTCTGATCTGGTCAGATAGCTGATGCTGGACAGGGGGCCAGGCTGTCTGGTGGCTGCTTTAGTACCGTGAGGTTTTAACTAGTTTTGTTTGCTTTTTTGTTTTCTTGTATTGTTTGAGGAGTTATTTGGCAGTTTAGTGGTGTTTGAGTCCTGTGATCCCAGCAGTTGTTTGTAAAGCTTCACTGAATTTCTGAATACTTTCCCAGTGAAATGGTGGAATGTCATTTGCCTCGTGTGAAAGGGTCAGGTTTTGACTCTGGTCCCTGGTAGACCAAATGAACTTGTGCAAGTGATGTGACTGGTGAATTGGAGCAGTCTTGGTGAGATAATTAATAATAAATAAATCATTGTGTCGAGGACAGGAAACCAGAGTGTATTCACATACGTTAGGCTTATATCGAGGTCTCCCACCAGTTTCGAATTACTAACTCTGCCCAGGATGCAACCCCACATTAAGCTGCCTAACTCTTGAGTGAGTACTTATTGCTAGGGGAACAGAGGCAAATGGCACATTTGCCTCTATTCAAATGGTGAACACGGTCACATTACGTGAGAGGAAATGTGCCCAACCATTTCTGTCCCGCCCGAGATTCGAACCTGGAATTCTCGATTGTGCATCGAGGATGAACCCGACTGTACTACCCGTCAGTCTGCCTTCATTGGGAATCATGTCTTCTTCATTGGCAGCAGTACTCCTGTTATTTTTTTCCCAATACAAATATATTAAATGAAGTACAGTTACTTAATGTAATATTGAGAGCAATCAGTGCTGTGGTTTTCTGTGACACTTTTAATGACAAAGCTATCTATCATGATAGCTTAATATGTCAGAACCTTGGTATTGTGAGAAAATGGCGTTCTCTCAGCTAGTTTTGTACTCTATGGCTGCTGTGTAGCTCTGCACATGCTATGCATTGAGCATTGGTATTACATCTAAAGACACAAGTACATCATGTCGGGGTGTCTTACGAATTGGGAATCTCGCAAATAGTTCAGAAATCGAGTGTGATGACATACAATGCCTGGTTATACTAGAAGAGAACAGTTTATACTGTTATTCTAGGCCCCCCCCCATGATTATACTAGTCTGTATAATCAGAGGGGGGAGGGGGCTCACCCTATAAATTAACTGCTGAGTGTAGCAGGTCCCCAGCCTGGGTCAGTTGACCCAATCCAAGGCCAACGGTCATAACCCTGTTCCTCCTACTCTCACCTCCACACCAGCGAAGCCCAGAGTTCAGCCCATCTGATGCATGTGTATCGATGAAACTCCATTCTAACTAGTACTCAGTGTGTAGGCTTTTACTTAGATGAGTGAAGTGTGAGCCCGGCTGCTCTAGCCATAGCTCACCACCTCATTCTTGTGGAAGCTGTTCAGTGTACCAGATGTGTGCTTCCTTGAGCTCCAGGGCCCCGCTCCTGTGCCAGGTAAGTCCACTACGGGCTCACCATAGCTCGTGCTACGTGGAACTTTTTGTTTCTAGTAGCCGAATCTTAAACAACAAACAACCACCACCATCACCTGATGGCTACAAGTACTCATTCCAGTCAACTCTGTCAAGATACCTCTCTCATTCATAAAAGGCAGAAGAGCACATGAGGAGATTGTACTTATGTACACAATTGAATCACATTTCATGATGCTTGAATAGGACCCAGTGAGTTTGGTGAATACCTTTTTACCCTTTTTGGTGAGCCTATTCAGAGTGAAACATCCCATGAAGTGCCGATCTTGACCATGCATGTGTTTGTGATTGTATTCCAACACATCAGTCTTTTTATTGTGTGCAATTTAATTTCCCGAGCATCAGCTCTGAGTTTCAAATTGTCCTTTTTCATACGGCAGTGGTGTTAGGCAGCCATTATTGCCGAGGTGGTCATTATTACCACCGTTAGGGTTAGGTTACATTACGTCACCTGGGTACTGTCGTCAAAAGACGGTACCGTGTGTAGATTTGCCTATAACGCCTCATAAAGTAGAGACAATTATCCCATTTCCCTGTGTGTACATATATTTTCATTTTATGTTCTGATTCCAGTAAATAAATTTATATTATTAAGCACATGGTGTTTCCAGAAATCCCTTCTGCCTCATATTGCACTTTTGCTGACTCGGTCCTCTAAAAAGATCCTCCTCCTATACTAGCACCCCCACATATGAATTTGATGTTGCTGATCTCTGATATCTGTATTACCAGGTAGGAGGAAACACGACCTATATCTGTCAAGATCTCAAGATCTTGTGCCGTTGCTCTAGGTATTTTATGTTGTTGATAACTATTGTGAGGAGCTTGCAAGCCTGTCCTAGCCTAGCTGAATACAGTAATAGTCCAACCTTAAAGTAATCTCTGACAAATATCAATCAAGATATTAAGGTTCAAATTATTAAGCTACCGTACAATTTGTTTAAAATGCATATTATGGAAATTGTGTGTGAAAACAGTAAATAGATTTCCTAATTCATTCTTTCATCTTTTCAGGATTCACAAAGATTTGCACGTCAGATTGAGAAAGCTCTCATGGATATGAGGTATCTCTTTGAATCCTTGGCAAAGAAGTAATGAAGGGCCATATTAAGGCAAAATTATTTGAAACTGATGAAGCATGTTCTTCTGAGACAGGTTGCAAATCCAAAGCCTTGAAAAAATTTGCTGTAATAGGGATATATTTCACCTGATTACTAAAACAAAATCTCGATAAATATGGTAAAGATTTATATCCCAAATAGCATGTTGCTATTCTCCCAACAGGTGCAATTTTGTATCCATCTACTGTACTGTAAATTGATAACCTCTGGAAAAGGTTATTCTATAGCAAGAGTTCTCACTTGCAGATAAGTAATTACAATTATATTTGTATTTTGTAACATTACATTTTTAGGAAACTAGCATGAACCAAGTTATTTTGTTTTAAAAGTCCAAATAAAATTTAATGTGCTGCAAATTATTTAGCAATTATCTGTTAACATGCATCTCGATGTGTTTTGTAAGCAATCTAGTCCAAATTGTAAGACTTGTGAAGTATTACATAATTTTTAAACTTTTGAGGAATATTTTAATTTTTCATAACTGCCAAAATCCATACACTATTAACTTGACGCTAAGCATGATTTAGTTTTTAGCTTTAATGTAAAGGATTTGCATCTGTTGCTAATTAATTTTCTAAATTGCTTTCAACTGTGTGAAATCTCATATTGCCAGTCATGCTGAGTAACACGTAACAATGTGAACAGAAACGGAGAACCACAATGTTTCACAATCTGTGTGAAGCCTTGTAGTTCTATAAGTCTAACACTGTTTTTATAACTGATCTTTGTAAGATTAGTAGAGTGCAGTACTGTGTTCATTATCTCTGGAAAAATCCTTACATTGTTTAGAAATTTTATTTGGAATTTTGTTATGTTGAAAAATCAGGATGTGCATGTGTGTGCATGCACGTAATTCCATAAGTGAAATACCTAAGTGTACCGAGACAAGTTCAGCTAGTGGTGTCCCATCTTCCCAGTACTCTGTCATATAGCGCTTTGAAATTGCTGATGGTTTTTGCCTCCACCACCTTCCCACTTGTTTTAACCATCTACCACTCTGCAAAAGTGACTTTTATTTCATTGACAGCTTTGTTTAGTTAGCTTAAATCTATGACCTCTTGTTCTTGAAGTTCCAGGTCTCAAGAATTCTACTTCTTAATCAATTTTGTCGATTCCCATTACTATTTTGTACGTAGTGATCATGTCGCCTTTTTTTTCTTCCGTCTTCTAGCTTTGGCATATTTAATGCCTCTGTTTCAAGTGTAATTGCAGGATGAGCTATGCTTATGGTGTCCAGTCTTTCCTATAATCTTTGTCAAATGACACTGAAACTATTGATTGATTTAACATCCACCACCACTTAAATTGTTCTGTCTAAATCTCTCTTCACACAGACACACACACAGAACTTTTTCAGTGTCAAAATAGTTAACAGATGGAATGCTTTAGGCAATGATGTGGTGGAGGCTGACTCCATACACAGTTTCAAATGTAGATATGATAGAGCCCAGTAGGCTCACGAATCTGTACATCAGTTGACAGTTGAGAGGTGGGACCAAAGAGCCAAAGCTCAACCCCCGCAAGCACAAATAGGTGAGTACACACACACACCCCACACACACACACACACACACACACAAAAAAAAAAAAAAACTTTCTCAGTCTTAAATCTATGGCCTTTTGTTCTTGAAGTTGTAGGTTTAAAATTTTTTATTTTGTCAATGTAGTGATTTATCACTACAGTATTTTGTATGTGGATGATCATTTTGCCGTTTTTCCTTCTGCCTTCAAACCTTGGCACATTTAATGCCTCTAGCCTCCCATCATAGGTTTTGTGTTCTAGTCTAGAAGCTATTTAGTAGCATATCTCTTATTATGTTTTCTAGTTTATTGATATGCTTCTTGAGACATGGACTACACAACTGCTGCATATTCCAATTTAGGTCTTACAAGTATCTGTGTTTGTGCTCGCTCGCACACCAAAGATATTATTGAAACTCTTGATAAATCATGTTTTAAAATACAGCTAAGAGTTAAAATTAAATGGGAAGTATGGAAACATTCAATCATTTCCCATTTAGTTGTCTATCATGATTTTGTTATTACATGAAAAATGCCAATTTCAGTTGTTTTTACATGCACATGGATATATGGTGGAGACCAAAACCATCAGTAGTGTAAAAGTGTTACGTGACACAGAGCTGGGAAGACGGAACACCACCAGTGTAGCTCTCATCCTGTAACTATACTTGGGTAATTACACACACACTCTGTATAAATACCTATGTACACACATTTAGAATACTCTATCCAAATTATTTTTCTGAACAAAACTTAATTATAAATGTTATTATAGTTGGCTGGTTCTGTTCAGTATTTTTCATGTATAATATACTCTTGAATGAATGCATTCGTTTTTTTAAATTAATTAAATATTGCATTATATTGTCCAAACGTAAGAGTATAGCCAAAGAAAAGTTTTTTGTAGTTTGTGTAAAATCCATTATTGTTCAGAAACATAAGGAAAGGCTATGGCGCTTTTTTTTTATTACATGCACGTGATGGCTTTGACAGTTTCAGCAGTTAGGGCTGTAATATATAAAAAAATGGTATATAGAAATGTAAATTTTGTTTTATATGTATAACTAAAATATTGGTTAAAAATGTTTAGCCAGTGAAAATTAATGCGACGTGTTGCATCTCAAAAAATTTTAGACTTATGAATTGTTGTACTGTAAACTTACTCATGTCCATAAGTTTACATAATATATCTGTACACATTAATTTAGTGAAGAATACTTTAGCATTATTTTTACTTTGGGTTTAGTGTAGTTTGTGAGAATTTGAATACACAGAGGTGGTTTATCAGGCACCAATGGCAGAAACATGGAATGTAAATGTATATATTATACAGTGTAGCAATTTTGTTGCAAAATTTTTTAAATTACAATCATATAGGTTACATTTGCAAGATAAATTTTGATAGCCCATAATAATGTACAGTCAGTCCTTAATTTGTTTTCTATTTTCCAATTTTTGTATAGCAAAGTACATTCCCTAGGAAGCAGAGTAACAACCGGCAGCTCTGTATTCATTAGACTTGCACCCACAACACACCAATTATTGACTCGGAAATGCCAATAATTTTGTGTTTTTGGTACAGTACATGTAATTTATAATGCTATAATGGATATGGGATAGGTGTTCAGATGAGAGAAAATAAAGTATAATGTATCAAAAGTCAATTTATTAAATTTAAATGATACATCGTATCTGAAACGGGAGATGGTGATCTTTGCAATTTGTTTTTTTGTTACCACAAAACCACCATAATCTGTAACAAGTATTCTTTTTTTTAACTTTGTGTCCATTTTGGAACAGCTCTAGAGTTGCTACTCCTGCAGCACATTTTCTGAGAAAGCTGTCATCACCTTCCCTTGACCTGCACAGGTTGACAGGGATTAATTCACACAGGGTTTGGTGCCATGTGTTATCAATGCAAACCTAGGATAGTAATACAGATTAACATAATTGTATAGTTATAATGTTCAGTTTTATCCTTGTTTTTTAATTATATTTTTTTAGAATGTAGATAGTAAGTAGATTAAAAATAACATTTAGATAATTCTTTACACTGTACTGTATTCTTAAAACTGTACTGTAATACACACAGAAATCACAATAGCATGATACATCAAATGAACAAATCCTCAAGGGCCGTGATGAGGGTTCAAACTTACGTCCAGGATGATTCCAGGCCCGCCTTAGTCGATTGCGCCACGACATGGAAAAGCAATGGAAAAGAATTGCGACTGGGAGTGCTACTGCTCTCGCATGGATCCCGCAGTCTCTCCGAGAGAGAAACCGGGGTTTTACACAATTCCCCCATGCACCCAGGCTCTGTCAGCAAGCTATTCTACCTCTTTGCCCTTACTTATTGAAGTAAGAGCCAAGAGGTAGAACAGCTTGTTGACAAGAGTCTGGGTGCTTGGGGGAATTGTGTAGAACCCCAGTTTGTGTGTCGGAGAGGCTGCAGGATCCGTTTGAGGACAGTATCTCTCCCGGGTGCAATTCTTTTGATCATGTTGTGGCACAATCGACTAAGGCACATCTGGGATCATCCTGGACGTAGGTTTGAACCCTCATCACGGCCCTTGTGGATCTGTAGTGTAATCTATGAAAATCATTACACCAACTTTTCTCACATTGCATAAATTATAATGATAGTTTAAAGTGTCATATAATATAATTTTGACAAGCTCTTAAATGGTACAAAGGCACTAATATTACAGTACAACTTGCCATATTTGAATACCATGGTCTGTCATTTGGTTGTGGATGTTGTAAAATCTTGACTTCATTGGCATATTTTTTTTTTTTTTTTGCCTTTTTTGTATATACTGTATATACTAAGGGTCAAAGTTTGTAAGTTCTTAACTTGGTATAATCTATTAAACAGGTCCTCTTGTACATCGTTTCTAGTTTTAGCTGAAGATCTCCATTGTACATCACATTATATACCTGTACGTTGATTATGTATGAGCAAGTTGCATGTTGCCTGCACCATTTTCACTCCCTGGTGGTGCCGACCTTAAAAAAAAGTTTTGGTTGCAAGTATTTTTATAAGTTTGCCCATTTAATGACATTCTCTGCAGTTTTTATGATCACTAAGGCATGAGACGATATTTGAGTAGAAAAAAAATTTGTACAGAAAATACTGTAGTGTGGTAGCAAATTCTACCATTGGGTACTGAAAAAATGTCAGTCATATTTATGTACAGTACTGTAAACCCATCTTATTATCTTTAGACATCTTATTTCCCCATTTCCCACTCTTGTGTGGTGGGGAAATCAGCCCGGAGAAAGAGTAATATATTTAAGGTTATAGATATTAAATAATAACTTCTATGAAGCACTATCACTCATCCATTCACTAAACGATATATAGTATTACAAACGAGCACAATTACTGCATGTGAGCAGTCAACCACAGCAGCATACCACTCCATAAAACCCGATTGCTCATGAATTGTTGTACACATTATAAACAGATATTTACTATTTACAAACTGTGTCCACCTAGCATTATTCCTTGCCATATCCCACAAGGTGTTAACACTAGGTTCCCACTTTCTCTCCATGTCCATCCAGCTTTCCTTCCCCTCAACTTTTCTGTTAATAAATTCACTCGAATACATTCTTCACCCACCTATCAACATCCATTTGTTAAATGGCCAAACCATTTCTCTGCACTCTTCAGGCTTGTAGTTTATTGACTTTGCATTCTACCTTTCTGCAGGACATTTTCATTCCTTCTCTTGTAAGCTCTACTAACCTGACTTGCTTCTCAAATGCTCCAATTCTATTGCTCTGAAAATTGAATTGAAAATTCAATTCTTGAATTTTCAACACAAGATTACGTGTTGCACTGCTGATTCTTCATGCAGTCTTCTCGCCATGTCTGCTCCAACTAATATATATACAGTATATATATTTTTTAAATGATAACTATCATTACACCAGTTTACTGACTCAACTTTAAACTTTGATATCACACATCCCAGGCACTATATTTAATATGGTCAACCACTTCAAGCACTTTACTCCTCACATTTATTTTGCACACAGTTTCTCTTTCACCATTACTGTAGTATCTCTTCTTTCTCCTGATAGTTCCCTTCCCTTCACTTTTGATATGCTTTTGTTGTTTTCCATAATTTTTCATATAAAAGTTTTTTAGTGGACTGGTATTAAATGGCAGATTTAAATTTGTCGTTTTGTATGACAAGTTGTACTGTATAGTACTGTGTTTTCTGATTCCTTGAGACCTAAATTTCTTGTCAGATAAAGATAAGGAATGTTTTATTTATTTGTTTTTAATTTGGTAGTGGAGCATTCTCTTGAAGCTTTTAAGAGACATTTTAATATCCATTTTTATTGAAAGCTTTCATAATAAGCCATGACATACTGAATACTTCATATATAATGCTCAATACAAATATAGTGCTGATCAACGTGTGGTTTCATAGCTTTTGTGTGTCTGCATGCAGCTTTAAATAATTCAGACATACTTTGTATTGGAAAAACTGATTTACTTCTGTTAAATATTTTGAATGTGAAAGGCACTCGGTTAAATGTAAGTTTTACCTTCTTGAACAAGTACAGTATTCAAAATTTATTTAATTTTTTTTTTAAATTACCCTGTATTTACAATCGTCCATTAAAGTTTTACTTTGAAAACAAGTGTATCATAATAGTAGTGTTCTTTGTAGTTATTAAACTACAATGTGTTTATTTTTTCCATGCTGAATTCGGCTTTAGATTGAAGGTTTATTATGGGTTATATTCTATATTATAGGTTTAACTTACTTTTATTGCATTTTTTCTTTTAATTTTAAATTTACTAGAGCTTTAGTACCATCATTAACATAACTAGCATGAGTGCTTAGCTATGATTGGCATGTTAAATGGAATTAAATTACTTATATTTAATTTATTTCAAATTTGTAATT